ATTTTTCGTGCTTACAATCGCTTAGTAGACTAAGTGTGGGGTTTTGGAGTGTGTGATATTGACTGATTCCTGGGTCGAGAAATCAATCTGTTTCCTGTTATTCTATCAGAGTTTACTATTAGTGGAATAAATAAGACTTTAACGGTACATCTCCATTGCATTTGATTCTCTGACATCACATTTGGCCATTGGTTGCACAACTACCTTACATGATCTCCGTCTCACTCTCGGACACATCTATCCATCGCCGACGACTGGGGTTCCACACGAGGATCCGCCTAGCACTTAATATCACTCAACAGTCTCTTCAGCTTCGATAAACGTTTAAAGTAACCCGTGGGAAATCCGCGAAATCCAGGTCTTCTAGGTTCTTCATGTCGGTCCATGATATCCCTGTCTTCTCGTTTCCCACTATCTGTCGCATAATCGAGTCCACCACAATTAGGAATATAATTGGGGATAATAAGCACCCTTGTCTGACTCCTGTGTTTACTGCAAACGCCTCGCCGAGTTTTCCGTTGTGGATCACTTGACATGTGCGTTTGTCGTACAGCTGTTGAATGAGGTTGATGAATATTTGAGGTACGCCGTAGTACTCGAGTAGTTTCCAAATTACTTCGCGGTCGACGCTGTCGAAGGCCTTCTCAAGGTCTATTAATTTGAGGTAGAGGTTCGATTGCCATTCCATGCTTTGTTCTGTGATGATGATGCGTAGAGTTGCAATTTGGTCAGAACATGATTTGCCTTTCCTGAATCCAGCTTGTTCTGATCGGAATTCTGCATCCAGTGCGTCCTTTATCCTATCCAGGATGATGCAACTCAGAATTTTACTTGGCGTCGACAGGAGTATGATTCCTCGCCAGAGTCCTCAGTCGCCTTTCTTTGGTAGTTTCACAAGGTAACCTTTCCTCCAGTCAGTAGGCACCTTTCCCTACTTCCAGACCTTTTAGCTATGAACTAAAATAAAAAAAGTCATTCCCAACAGCCTAATTTATTAATGAATTACGATTTATACATACATACCTGTTCATTATTTACCCAAACTACCCAATAGCCTTTATCCTGTCAATAAAGCTTGATGGATCAGTTTAATTCAACCATAACTTAATACTATTATATACATATTTATATATACTTTTGTGTTATTGATTGGTTCTTCGATCGATAAATCAATATGCTACTTTATCTTCTACTTAAGCTTATTATTATTATCAATAATACTTTAGTAATCGTCGACTTATGCGATGTATTCATCTTTTATTAACAAGTGTAGATAGGTATTTAACGCTGTTATATATGTATATATACGCATCCGTCTATCAATGTTTAGAAGGAATTTTGTTTTACTGTTTTTCAGTATTATTGTGTGTGAGTGTGAGCACTTATGATTACTATTATTATTATTATTAAGAATAAGAAATGAGTAATGATAAAAGTATTTAAAAAATTGTGTTTTTGATGTCATAAGAATATTTTGTTTATATTGATTTGTTTTATTAGATATTTTTTTTTGTTTGGAAAATTCTATTAAACGCCTTTCTTTGTCACATGAACTGAGTCAAATTCACAAGGTGAAGACAAGACCCCAGAGTTTCCCTTGCAAAGTCCCCAACTATTCACATCACACACGATATGTGTGTGTGTGATCTGTTTGACTTCATAGAGTGGAAATCAATAAGACAAGCAAAACTGGATGACGCCATCTGGATGAGAGTAGTATCCAACTACTCACAACAGCTGATGAGTAGCATGTAGCGTTATGCATTTATTCTTGCACTCTTAATTACTATTATCTATTATTATTGCTTCCTTTAATTCCTAGAGGAAAATAGGGCTTCAGCCGTGCGTCTCCATTGCGTTCGGTTCTCCGCTACAGTCTTCACCGGGCTCCAAGTCTGCCCACACACCTTCATCTCCTCTTCACATCACCTCATCCAAGTCACCCTCACCCTCACACTGACGACCAACTCGCCACCGCTGCCCTTTCGGTCGGGTTCCATTCCAGCAATGGCTTGTCTAGTGATGTCACTCACTTCATGTCTTGCTTCCTTACAGTATGGCCAGCCAATCCATCCATCTCCATTACTCCCTGCCTATTTGTTTCACAATCGGTTGGTTCCTGCTGTGTTGGTTGGTTCGCTCATTGCCAGAGATCCCTCTCTGTTGCTGATCTTTTCTGGCCGCCCAGCCATCTGATCTTGAGTGGTATTGAGCGAGGACAGCTAGCTGTTAATGAAGGTCTGTAGTTTGTTCGAGGTGCTCTGTATGACGCGCAGTGCTAGTCTCTGGTCCATCCGTATGTTAAGTAGCACTGACTGATTTCACACTGGAGTTGCAAATCCGGATGTTATTTTTGATGCTGAGTGCTGAATGTTGACCTCCTGCACACAGACTTGAGAGTAGTGGAAGCTTGTCTTGCTTTTCCGATCGATTCTTGCTTCGATATCCTCGCCAGCTCCGTGTGCCTGTAGTTGAAACGATGCTTCCCAGGTAGGTAAAAGAGGTAGTTTCTTTCAGGTTTCTTCCATTTATGCTGATTGGTGTCTGTTGTTGTTGCTGTTGGTGTTGGCCAGGGATCTTCATCACCTCCGTTTTCTCTATATTCACCTGGAGTCCTATCTTTGATGCTTCTTCTGCCAACTTATTACTTTTCGTTTGCATATCTTCCAGTTTGTGGGAAATCAGACATATATCATCGTCGAAGTCCAGATCCTCCAAGTTTTTTGTGTGAGTCCATTTTATGCGTCAATGGATGTCATACATATTGGAATTTCAATGGTTTCGGTTTCCAAATGAAACCGAGATTAGATTACTCTTCAGACTGTGTAAATTGCTGATATTACCATCGCGATTGTTACTACGATGTATTCAATTGGTGGATGGTTTTTTAGCAGTGTAATCCAGGATGCGCGTTTCTTCCTATTTTGGGACTCGTCAGTTGGATGTTCCTGCAAAAATAAATAGTACTAGGATGATTTGAGCCAATTCGGTTGTTGTGAACTGAGTTAAACTGATTACATTGATTGGTAAGCTGCTTCTCAGGGGAGAGGAATTTCTCTCCGGCGGCTTGTGCATCACTTCTGTCTGGCCGGTTGATTAGCACCACTAGTTGATGTGTGTGTGTGATGTCAGTTTTTCGTAAATATACACCAAAAGTTGGCAATGTGCCTGACGTTCATCTACGATGGACTTAATTGTCTGTTATTTCGCCTACATACAACAACATCCCTACAAGTGTTAATGCCTTCCTTGATACTTCTTTGGGTGATTGATGAAAGCACACGTTTATCTTCCGCAGCGTCTATACATTTGCATCTTATGGTTGCATTTTATTAGATATACCCTCTTGCGGTATCCATTTCTTCCTTTATCTTGTTTTTCCGTTCAACATCAATGTCACTTTTTACTGTTAAAAACAATGTATGTTTGGCGTTGTAGTTTAATTGTAAAGCTATCTTACCAGACAACATCTTCAACCCTGACATCAAATAAATACAGTCCGCAAGGAACCAGTCACAGCTAAGGTTATCAGAATAGTTAGATATCTGATCCACCAAAAGCCTCTGAAAACATACCCACTTCACATTGAAATTGGCGTTGAAGATGTCTAGAAGGAAAAGTGAAAGCATCGTAATGGGTAGTAGTGGTACGGCTTATTTACGTAGGCTCTCAACTTTCATCCAGTAGTAGGTTCTGGGTTCGAAACCTCCAAAATTCATTAGAGTAAGGAGTAGGGGAGTCTGTCTGTCTGTCTGTCTGGATTCAACATAGAACTTGCCACCGAAGTGCACCAGTTCGAGTTGCCACGCTCCAAATAGCACACAAAGGTAGACAAGAAAAGTGAAGACAAGTGAAGAGAATCAATAGAGTTTTGATAAGTATAAGAGTGAAACAGAATGAGTAATGGTAGAAAGGAATATGAATACATCTGCGTAAGCCATTGACAACGATGAGTTTTAGCCATGTCACCTATTGTCTCCAGCCATTGATTGATTCTTAGAGTCCCGAGGGCGGGTCCCAACCCGGAAGTCTGCATCTCCCTACCTACCTGACTCAGTTTAACTGTCAAGGATTCCATGGATTGATGAGGCCATGTTTTTGTTTGGCCACCACTTACTCTTTTCTAACCTGCACCTACCTATATCAGCTAGTAATGCTCGTCCGTCGCGGGAGGCGATGGTTGGGCATGCGCAGCACGTCACCTAGCCATCTCAATCTATGTAACTTTATAGCCTCTTCAATTGATTTTCCCTCTTTGCCCAACACTACGCCTAACGTCAACATTACTTACCTTATTATACCACCACCCAACGTGAGAAAGAGATCGTAGACACCTATGATCAAAAACAGTCAACCTTTTCATGTCTTCAACTCGTATTGGCCATGTTTCAGAGCCATAGAGAAGGACGGAGCGAACTGCTGAGCAGTATACACGTCCCTTGGTTGATAGCCGGATGTCACGCCTACGCCAGAGACGGTGTAATTTAGCGAAAGCAGCTCGAGCTTTTTGGATCCGTGCTGAGATTTCGTCACCAATCAGTCATCCGTTGGTGCTGATACAACTTCCCAAACAGGTGAAGTGGTCAACATGTTCTATCACTCCACTCCCTATCACTAAGCTAGGAGTTGACGTAGTCCAGTCCTGTAGCAGCATCTTACATTTTACAGGGGCGAATCGCATGCCAAACATACGAAGATTGCTGCTCAAGGTGTTCAGAAGACTCTGCATTTTGACAGCATCCTCCCCTAACAGGACTATGTCATCTGCATATTCTAAGTCCATAAGACTACTCCCTGGTAACAAGTCGATTCGTAAGTCGTTAAGTTCAGTTAAGGATACTTCCATTAGCATATCTATGATGAAGTTAAACAGGAATGGGGATTTCGGTCGATGGAGTTGGGGAGGGATGGAATTCGCCTATGAAGTTGTAATAATTCTTTCTGATTCATGCATTTCATTACTATACATATATATATATATTTTATCTTTTGATTTACAGCTCTTCTATGTGTTCCAATCAATCCACCAAGTGGGAATGGTATAGTCGACTATCGTTTTCGTACCAACCCGCATACATCGCATACATTCGCTTATGCTGAAATCTTCTGTCCATCGGATCGTTGGTTAGAGCCAACTGATCCGGGATTAGATGAGGTTTACTCAGGAATTATTCATACTCCTACTACTAATAATAAAAATCATAGTGATAATAATGCTTGGTGGTTAGAACGCAGACGACATGTTACCTTGATATGCGATCATCATGAACGTAAATGGACGCCGAATAGACTACCAGAGGCATGTTTAACATGTAAGTTAATTAACTTGATTATCACGATATCTATATAAAGGTTTAAATCAAATTCATATTTTTGCTATATTCTTCTTGTTCTGTCGTCATTGACGACTATCTTAGATTATATATTGTAGTGATATACGTCTCTAACCTCTTGCATATAATGATTATAATAGCAATTCGCTTTATTCCAGAAACAGTACTAGTGGTACAGTGTGGAATTTTCAGCACATATCTACAATATTTGCATCTAATTTTATCCAACGTTTAAAAGGAGTATTTCAAAAAAATAAATATGTAGACAACAACAACAAAAAAACACAAAAAATAGAAAAATGCGAAAAAATATCAAGAAGTAGAAAGGAAAATGTCTTCGGCGAGTATTTGTCGTCATACCCGACCTGCTGCACCCTACTGGTCACGACTTCTCACTAGAACCCACCCAAGTAACTACCTACATGAATAGGGCAAGTCGCCTTGTAACCAGAAGGTCCTGGGTTCGAATCTCAGTGGGTGCGTACTGGTGAAGAGTCCCAAGCTAGGACGAAATAGCTGTCCAGTACTCCCAGGTTTTCCAGTGCTTCTCTAACTAATGTCAGCTCATGATGAAAGTCCTGTAACCAATCAAATCCCTACAAACCAACACTTGAATATCAATGAGATGCTCACTGGCGACTGGCCGTATTCAGGTAGGTAGTTACCTGGGTGGGTTCTAGTGAGAAGTCGTGACCAGTAGAGTACAGCAGGCCGGGTGTGAGGACAAATATGTTATAACTGTAGCGAAATTAAAATGAGGACGTTGTCGCCTTATTCTATCTGCGCCTGACTAATATATCTATCTGCTTCTGGTACCTTCCGATTCAGCGAACCACGCAAATATCAAAAAACAAAAGCTGGTCTGTGACTGTGTATTGTAGTACAACAACTACGACAAACTACGACAAAGAAACTTATTTAGGAAATGGTATTTATACATTTTTACAACGAATACAGACAGCTAACAGTATTTGAAATAATTGGTCGCATTAGTCAATAACAAAATGCGTGGGAAATGATGATATACCACTTATGCGAGATTAACAGTCGTTAAGATAATTGAACAATAGCAAAGTGCGTGAGAAATGATGATATACCACTTATGCGAGATTAACAGGCGTTAAGATAATTGAACAATAACAAAGTGTGTGGGATCCTATCAAAATACTCGCCGAAAACATTGGCTAGGGGTCGCGCTATGTCGTGAATTGGCAGAAGTTAGAATTCATGGGCTGGCCATTGGATCGGGTCCCAGTGGCTTAATGGTATACGAGCTCGGTGGCCTTGTAACCAGGTCCTGGGTTCGAACCCCGTGGTGTGGGTGCGTACTGATGATGTCCAGTACTCCCAGGATTCCCAATAGTTCTCTAACTTATGTCAGCTCATGATGAAAATCCTGAAAACTTTTTTCTTAGGGACGGTATAGGTTGTAGGTTTATCATCAAAAATTACCATATAACGGGGAAATAAACATTAGGATTTTGAGACAAAGGTTGAATTCCATCATCCGTAGAACCTACTATGCAGCCTAGCTTGTAATTGTGGAAAAAGCTAAAAATATGCTTCACTGAAAACCTCAAAAGTGCACAAGTGATTATATCATATTCCACACAATTTACCAATTTTCGTGTGTGTGTGGACATACATACAAACATAGGGAGGAGTAATCGCGCGTTGCACGTGAGGGTGGGAGAGCACATCCCAAAATGGTTAGAAAAACAGATGAATTGTGACAAGCGAATAGATGCAGGTGTCAGACTACCAACTGACGAAGTCGTCTATAGCTAAACATCTAATCGAGATGAACCATAAGGTTGATGTTAACTCAGCCTTTGAGGTCATCTATAAAAACGGTCAAGGACGTTTACTGAAATACGCTGAGACTATAGCCATTCATAAACTTAGTCCCCACCCCTGTGTATTTAAAAACATTTTGTTATTACTCTTAACCTACCTTGGTAATCCTTATTTGATGGGATTACCAAACGTTTGTGTTAATTATTCTTAATTCTTTTTTTGTCACCTTGTTTAATTTAACCTTTCCAAATATATATTGACTTGACAAGTAAATGTGTTAGGGATCGGATTGTTCGAAATGTATAGCGCAAATACATCACATTGTTTTTCAGATAATCTCCGCCTTCTAATAACGCTATCAAAATTTATAAAACGGACTAATTGTTTTACATAGATAAAATATGTGTAAAACTTGGGCACTGTGGTAGTAAGTAATTCCATATTAGTTTGTTTATTAGGTATATCACACAGGGTGAAACAGTATTATTTACTGGATGACGTTTCGAACAAAATTTATTGTTCATAATCATATCAATTGTGATCACATGACTTTGACACTTGAGTTTTATAGTTTTCTTTGTTCTATCCTAGATTTTGCTAGAAAACTTAGCAAAATCTAGATTGGTTGACCCGAATAGGATAAGAAATCTAGAGAATAGTTCAGCTATAGCACTACATGCAGTCACACACAACCATACAATAAGATGGGATAGGATGACAGTTTTAAAACCTAATGTCACAGGGTAAAGGGAGAGATTGATTGATAACAGAAGCTTTGTTTATCGAATCAACTGCAAATACATGTAATCGGAATGATTCATCACCTGTCTCCAATATCTGGAAAATTCTACTCCCCCTACGACAAATAGGAGAAAACAAAGAAAACTATAAAACTCAAGTGTCAAAGTCGTGTAATTATAATTGATATGATTATGAACAATACATTTTGTTCGAAACGTCATCCAGTAAATAATACTGTTTCACTGTGTGATACATCTAATAAACAAACTAATATGGAATTAAAAGGCATGAAACTTTTACACAGGATACCTTTCTCTGATGGGTGACGAAAATATCTCTCAGATTGGCAAAGGAGTGTCAATAGGGTAATTTAACCACATTCTATGTATGTAATTGTCTAGGTCTTCTAACCCTAACAACAACTCTGCATCGGTGGCACAGCGGTTAGGACTCTGGCCGACCATGTACATGGTTCGAGGTTCGATCTCCCGCTGACGCACACTTGATATCTATGATCGGCCTGCTAAATTTGAGCTACCGATATCACATGCTGAAAATTTCATACTTGTACCAAAATACTGTGTGGAATCAAGCTATAATAAAATATCAAATAAAAAAAATAAACTAACACTGAAGTGAAAATACCCCTAAATTAAATCTAGTCCAACTCAAACCAAGCCTAATGTAGCCTTATTAGGTCAAGCCAATCCTTAATCTTTTCCAAACTTAACCTGAAACTTGTCATATATCCCACTTAATAAGATGACACTCTTCATGAAGCACATTTTATTGATGATTACCATATTCATTTACCAGGTTTCACTAACTTCCTCAACGAGGGTTTCAGGCTCATTGGTGCGGTCGCGCACTCCACTGGTACTTTTTTTTATTTCCTTCACGTTCCCCAGTGGAACATAGGGCTTCAAGCTAGTGGCTTGAAGTTTCTGTAGCAGTGTTTATTTTTACAGGATGGGGTTGCTAGCCTCATTCCCAACCTTTCCTCTTCACCAGCTTTAGTTCTGGCTTAGCGAGGTAAAGGAGTGCGTCCAGTGGCCGGGGATCGAACCCCGGACCATGTGCATTGTCGGCGAGGGTCCTAACCATATTAGTTTGTTTATTTGATATATCACACAGTGAAACAGTATTATTTACTGGACGACACAGTTTTGAACACAATTTTTTGTTTATAATCATATCAATTGTAATCACAAGACTTTGCACGACTTTGAGTTTGTTCGAAACGTCATCCAGTAAATAATACTGTTTCGCTATGTGATATATCAAGTAAACAAACTAATATGGAATTACTTAATACCACAGTGCCCAAGTTTTACACATATATTAAGAGGGTCCTAACCGCTATGCCACTCGTACTTACTGGTGATTAAACCTGGCCGTCACTTGTTTGTCGGCGACTAGATGAGCAACTGCAAGTTTAAAATTTTGTGGTAATATTGAGACATTCGTTCAAGAAGCCTGTTCACCAAAAATGATATCGAAACCTCCGTATATCAATTAAGGTATATTGCGAATGAAGTCTTCTATATTGATTTTTAAGTATACTAACGTGTGTGTGTATGTGTGTGTGTGTTTAGGATGTGTAGAGATGTGTGTAGGCGTGACAAGAACTCACAACTAAGTAGAGTAGATGTCATCTTAAGGTCATCAGAGTAAATCGAAATGAAATCAGACACACCTCTACTCCCACCACCACCACCACCACCTTCTAATAATCACAATAAACGGTTGACATAAACTTGAATATGTTCTTTCTATCTTGAGATGACACTACCCCCTTTGTAATCATTTAGACAAATGTTCACTTAAAAACATACACTGGACAATGTACTTCAATGTAGTATATACACACTGACCTTAGTATTTTATTTAGGAGTAGAACCTAGAGCCTTGATGACCTTGTGAGATTAGGCGAAAATGCAGGGGAAGGGGAAGGGGAGGGAGAAAAATCGTTTACAAACTAACTGTGTGAAACAATAATATTCGTTCACCAGACTTGATTGTGTTGCAATGGTTCTTGCAAACACAACAAAATTTGAAGTAAAAATCTCAGATGTAATGAATGGGATTCTGCCTAAATCCTATCGCATTCATTTAGACGAAGAGAGCGGGTTAGTAAGGATTGGGATTAATTTTGAATGGGTGTGGATTTCGTCACCAACCAGCATTAAGAGTTCGAGCGAAACTCAGGTAGTATTGGACAGTTGTTTCATCGTGGTTTGTGACTCTTCGCCCATGATCTCACCAGGATTCGAATCAAAGACTTTCAGTTTACGAGGCCAGCTTTGTCTATTATCATCTATCATTGTTCCCTTGGGTTCCCAGTGGAACATAGGGCTTCAACTACACGTCTCCACTTGCTTCTGTCTTCTGCTGTACTCTTCGCCTCCATCCATGTTAGTTCATACTGTTTCAACTCCTCT